CCACTGTATTCTCAGTGCCTAGAACTACATCTGGCATGTAGTAGGTGCTCAATAAATATCAATCAAATGAATGAATGAGCAAATGAACAAATCAGCCACCTGTGAGGTAGGCATCCTGATCCCATTTTACAGAGGCGAGGACAGACTTAAAGAGTTTAAGTGGCAGAGCTGAATTTTAATCCTACATCTTAACTGACTCCAAGGTCCATGCTCTCCACCATGATGCATGGCCAGGGTGTAATAAACATGCCTCACCAAAACAGCAAAGCCATTTCCATGTTAGGAGAGTTAATCATTATGAGAACCCCAGTGCCCTTAAGATGTGCATGCACACAAAGTATGACTATTCATGTTGTCCTGTGTGTTCAGCTAAGGTCTCAATGACTAGCCATAAAAAAGGAGAGGGCTCAGCGTCTTTAGCTGGTTTGGGAACACTTTCCTAGTCATCAACTGAAATTTACCAAATAAAGCCACTAATGACACGGACCTTTGCTCTACCTCTGTGTTAGTCAGATATCAATTTTATCTACTGAAAGACTTCTAGTCTACCAGAACTTTTGTTTTTCTGTGATTTCTAAACTGAGGAGACTCTAATCTAAACCCTGTCGTTCCAGAGGAATGGAAAGCCCAATTCATTAAAACGGAAAGGAAGAAACTCTTGAACTACAAGGCTCGGCTGGTGAAGGACCTCCAACCACGAATTTATTGCCCCTTTGCTGGGTATTTTGTGGAATCCCACCCATCAGACAAGTATGGCTGGACATTTAGTGTAATGTATAAATTAATGTGTGCTGGGATGAATGGTTTAGCTGTGAATACAACATGAAATGATAAAGACATTGTAGGGGTCTTAGAACTTATTTAACAAGCTGCCTTGTATCAGAGAACATGAATAAAAACCATACGTGGCAGCCAGAGTTAATTCAGATAGATTTTGCCTGAAAGGATTCTGGAAAGCAATGGATGTATATTCAATATATGCTGGGAACTGAACTGAAACTTTTAACCAAGTCATTTAAATTAGTCTTCCAAGTGACACTTGGATTATTATGCCTGTTTAGGTTAGGGAATCTAAAACTCAGAGAGGCTGAGGGTCTTGCCTGAAGTCATCC